AAAGAAAAGGAAAGAAACTGAACCTTGAGCTTTTATTGCGGAATGTTCCCAAGTAACCTGCACAAAGCATACAAACATGCGATAAATAGAGTAACTAATCCTTTATATTCAGATTCACCATAGAATTCTCACCAAGAAAATATTTTATTATACATGTTTACTCAGAACTTCAAATTGATTCAAACTCACTCATGAAATTAAAATTCAAAAAGAATTAATATAATTAGAATCTTTAGTTGAAGCGAGTACATAAAATTAAACTAATTAAACCGAATCACATAAATAATTTTTCTCAAATCATCTAGTCAGGAGCGTCCATAATTGATCAATCGATTAAATCAATCAGTCACAGTGCCGATTCTTTAAATCGAACAAACATGTTAATTTCACAACCAAACAGAGAGCTCAATATTTCAGCCGAAAAGGACAACCGTTTGTTTGTTTGTTTGGTTGTTTTTCCTCATTTCTCTTTTTTGTTTAAAATTTATCAAGATAGACCGTAAAAATCATATCAATAACAAAAATATATTGACGGCCAAAATATAGAACAAACAAGCATTGGCACAAGAAAATATAGCCGAAACTTCTAAATAAATCAACAAACTTGCAGGATCAATAGCAAGACATTACCATTTAACAGTTGCGCAACCATATTCCAAGAAGCATTTGTAATCAAATCCGTAGTCTTAGTTGTCCTATGATGGACTATCCGACTAATAAAAAAAAACCTAATAAATTGTTTGTGTGATGGTTTGAGGTATGTGAGACTCTGATTTATTTAGTATTTATAATACGTAAAGATTAGTCTAGTGTTTTTAGTGATTAGCCGGAGTCAACAAAATAGACGGTAAACCTAGCTTAATCAAATCAATTAACATTTATCACAAATCTCATCATTTAACAGCATTTATTAATTTAACGATGACCGCCAAAAGTGAAAATAGTTTTCATATATAATAGTTACTTTGAATTTCAAAAGAGATTTGATTCAATTATGTCACCTTTGTATTTTCTTGTGAGTTAAAGGACGGGAAATTATCTGAATAAAAATTCATAATATGTAATTTATAATTAACGCTTTACTAATGTGTTTCTACGGTTTAATAATGAGCCAATAATAAAACGACGCATGTCAAGTGAACCTATTGAAGGCCTAATTGAGCGTCACGTGTTCAATGATCAACTCTCCTTTAATATATAGATAGATACAACGACAGTCTAGAAATGATTAAATAAGACTAAAAAATCAGGATGTTCTACACGAAAAATAAAGAAAATATCTTCGAGAAAATAGAAAAATTCTCATAGAAGTGAGAACACTACAATGTAAAAGTCTTAAATTGAATAATCATGATAAGTGCTTAGAAAGTATTCCTTCCATCTCAAAAAATAAATAAATAAATAAAACAAAGAAAATAATCCACTTTATCGAAGTAAAATAATATACAAAATGAATTATTATCTCAAAGAAAAATAATCTACTTTGGCAAACTAAAATAATATATCAAAACGAATTAGTATTTTTTAAGACAGAAAGAGTACACGTTAATATCATACAATATGCATAACATTTTTTTCCCTATAAGGAACCTCATATGTGTAGCTATCTAGGAAACAAATAAATGCAAATGTTCAACCTCTATTTGCATCCTTTGTTGACTAAGGTTGAATGAACGAACAAGTATGTAAGGAAGAGTTACATAAACGCTGAATAAAACGAAGAGTTAATTTAATAATCGACACGGATCTTCGTAATCTATAAAGTGCAATAAACAAATTTTGTGACAATTTATTTGAATTAATTGATCTCTTCATCACTACGTTAATTTTCTAATGGTACTGCTCTCTAAAAATCTAGAAATTGAATTTATACACGAAGGCACTAAAATGTTGCTATTCCAATCCATATGAATGACCCCAAAAAATTTGGAAAAAAGAAAGCCCAAAATAAAATAACTGCTTTTAATTCAAGCTTCTGAAATCAGCACAAGTTACAATTACGTAACAAGTTCTCTAGCAACAAAGAAAGAAGCTAAAAAGCTAGAAAGGCGAATGCCTCTCTCAGTTCTGGCAAGAAAAAAGCTAGAAAGAAAGTAATATGGTGAGCCATATATACAAGAGAAACCCTAAAAATGTAATCTCATTGTCATAATGACCAAAACCCTGAAAAAGATGAGGTTGATTCAACGTGTGCAAGGATCTCCGCTATTGATCGACTCGAACATCTACAAATTTTCTGAATCATTTGCGATATGAATTCCTCCAAATCGCTTTTCATTTTCATATATCTAAATAGTTCATTGCACTCGCTGCTAAAAAAGCCAAAGCAATTAGCAGCGAGTGATGTAGGAGGTTATCATCAACTCCTTGTTCCCCCATCTAGCTAGTGTACATTCGTGATTGAAATATAATGTTATTAGCATTTTTCCGCACAGGGTCAATTATAATATAATAGGTTTTGCTTCTTTCATTGTAAAAAAGAGTTCATCGACTCCTTGTTCCCCCATACAGTTTACATCCGAGGTTAGAACATAATGCTATTAATGTTTTCCACAAAGAGTCTATTATAATATAATGCTTTTTGCCTCTTGCATCGTAAAAAAAAAAAAAAGCGAAAAGGTTGTTGATGTGGATTAGCTCTTCTTACTATTTCCACAGATCGATAAGTTTACCAATCTCAACAATTCCCGAATCAGAACATCATATTGTTCCCAACAGCTGGATTTGGCAAAGCGGAGTTTGAGTTCGAGTATTTAATCTTTGAGAGTGTTTTTTTTTTAAAGAAATAATGAGAGCCATTTGATCATAAAGTGAAATGTAGGCATGACACCGTTAAGCTATCGAAAGCAGCCTGGAGGGATAACATTAATCATAATGGCACCGTTAGTCGTATCCTTTGGTAATTCAGCTACAAGTTTATCATAATCTTAGAATTAATTAATTCAGTTTAGTATATACAAAACCAAACACAAACAAAAGAGGTACTTAATCTATTGTATTCCGTTCCTGAAAGATAAACATATTTGTTACGGACGCTGTTGTATTTCAACAAAATAACATTATTATAGTATGTAAATATATAACAGCCTCTTGTTTGTGAAATGACATGAAAATAGTGCTTTCGTGTTTTTTTTTAGGGTGAACTACAATTTACCCCCTGAGTTTTGGCCCGTTAACTAAATTCCCTTGAGTTTTGGCGATACTATAATTTCCCCCTTTGACAGGGTGAAAAAGTTGGTCGACGCCGGAAAGTTGTGAAATGACGAAAAGTCCTGAACTTATACCGGCCAAAAAATGAAAAATAAAATATGAAAAAAGCTAAATATGAAAGGCTTCTCCCGTCTTTCACGCACCGAAATCCAAATCGGCATTTGCCTTTTCATCTCCGCCCACGCAATTTCAAATTTGTCAAATTATAAAGCATGCAAATACAGAATGTAAGAACGGGCAGCCAGCCTTATTCCTACACGGATTTCAACCTTAATCCTGCAAATAGGGAAAATAGAATCCAAACCACAGCAAAAAATACCAATTTTTTTTTTTAAAAAAATTACTCCGATGCCATCAATTCATCAATGAAAGAGATGAGAAGAATAGGGATTCTCGGTACAATTAAATCTTTCTGATGGTAGCCAACCAATAAAGCGCCGTCATTGGGAGAAGCGAGTCGAATCTAGCGAGATCAAAATTCAAGATAATTATCCAACTTCAATAGGAGTTATTTGACTTCGATTGTTCGTCTCTGTTTCACATTGTTTTCCTCATTCGCTATATCCAGCAGAAATCCGGATCTGTAGAGCCAATGTACTGTTTGAAGGCGCGACCTATGAGTCAATGAATTCATGTGTGAATTAGAAAATTGTAGTGAGATGGATGGTGATGTAGGCAGAGTTGAAGCCGTGAAGGATTTGGAGGTTATTTCGATTTTTGATGATTCATGATTGATGATTCATGATGAAGGTCGTGGGAAGTTAGGGGTCTTTGATGTTTTGTTTTTTATTTTATTTTATTTTTTGGGTTAGAAAAATACTAGGATATTCGAGTATCTTTTAAAAAATAAATTTAGTAAAAGTAATTCACAAATTATCCAATATATGATGTACATGTTTTTTTTTTTTTTAAATCCAATATACGTTCCTAATTAGACCTAGTAATGTCAAACACAATATCTAAATGTATAAAGAAAGAAATGAATATACAAATATAAGTAGGGTATTTTTACCCAAAAAACATCCCACTTTATCAGGTTATTTTCGTCAATTCGTATTGAAATTAAGACGATGTCAGCAGTTAATGTCATTTTCTGGTGGGTTCGGTTAATAGGATCAAATGTCAAGGGGGTATTAGTAATATGACCAAAACTCGAAGGGAATTTAATTAACGGACCAAAACTCGGAGGGTAAATTGTAGTTCGCCCTTTTTTAATGAGATTAATTATACATGTAGGGATTTAAACCTTATAATTAATTTCAACCTCTTAATATATATTTTAAGTTAAAGTAATTTTCATTGAATGATGTCTTTTTCACGAGTGAGACATATGTAATGCAATCATGAACAAGAAATAAAACATAGGATTCCCTTACATCCCATTCTAATATGTATCCACCATCCTTGCGTTCATTGCAAGGTAATTAATATAGGAGAATGACTTTGAATCCGTTTTCTCACTTTGTCTACATTGAAAAATACTATTAACTACAATATTCTAATGGGCACTGATGTATTTAACAATTTAAAATATTTATAATTTAATCGTATCTCGTCAATTAACAAAACAACATCGTGATATCGACATAATTTTGTGAACTCTCTTTTTTTTCTTTATATGTTTCTCCTAGAATTAATCCTTGCCCTCATCTTGATTTTCCTTTTACCTAGTTTAGCGAGAGACTTCAAGTCTAGCAATTTGTGTTTATGCAATTGGGAAGAGAAGGAAAAAAAAAAAGAAGGAAGAAATATAAGGAGAAAAATAATAATGGAAAAAAATTACAGTCTCTCTGAAATCAAAACATCCACAAGGCATTTTTATCCTGATATAATATCATAACATTCTATGTCTAACCATTCGACGAAGAAGAAGAAGTAAGAACAAAAATGGGGAGCCAAAAAACAAGATCCTAAACATAATTGCATAGACAGAATTATCAGCACTCTGAAATAGATGTGGATCAAACATTTCGGAAATTCTGTCCATCTTTTCAAGAATCACTAAGCTGTTCTCCAAATATTTTGTTGGATTGACAAACTTCATTCTCCATCCCTCAAAACCAACATGATCATCAAATCGACTCAAACATAAATACATGTTTCCCGTAGCATTTGACATCAATTCCTTCAAATCGCTTGTTGTTTTTGTTTCTCTAAAGATTTCATCATCAGGGTCATCTCCCAAAATGACCATAGACACATTTATTAGTCTCGATGACTCCCGAATCGAACCGTCACAATCTTGCAAAACATTAGCCAGAGTTGTTGAGTTCAAGTAATTTTTTACCTTTGCAAGTTCCATTTCATTGGATGAAATGACATTGTGAAGCTCATCAAAAGAAGCCTGAAGAAAGAGCTTGAAAATGGTAGATGGCGTGGTTTTTTTGGGTTCGATCATGGTTTTACTTTGCAGGGTTAATATGGGATTGAAACATGAAGTTGGGTATGGGGTTAGATCACATATAACTTTGATTTGTTCCTCTGGTTCTGAAGTTGAAAGTGATTCAGCATCTAAATCTTTCTTGATGGCTACAAAGACTGAGATGGCAGAAACGATTATAATGGAAAATAGAATGATGAAAACGATCATCAAATTAGTGAACTTCCTCTTTCTTCTTGCTGCCTTATCATCCTCTTGCAAGTGCTTCTGCTTCTCTTCGTTGCTGATGACGGATTCCATCTCCTTTAAGCTAATTTTGAAAATGGTGAATTTTTCTTTCTACAATGAATCTTTATGTTGTTGGAGATTTAACCGTATATGCGGTGTTATTTGACGAAAATAAGTAAATATATTATTCTTTTTTCTTGGTACAAATATATTATTCTTTTTGTTGTGTAGTATGATGGTGATATATTTATGCCTAATTGTCGCCTAGTACATGGATTAGCGATTTTGATATACTCTATTAGTATTTGCATCACTTTTATTTGGAATTGGGGCGTTCAAGAGTTACATTAATATTGACCCGACTTAGTGAATTCAAGAATCGTTTTGCTGGTTTAAAAGGAAATTGCTTAAAAGGAAAGAGATTTTATTTTTGTGAAAATTACTTAATAATATTAGGGGAATTAAAGGAGTTTTCTTAAAAATTATTTGGTATATTACTTGTTTATTTGAGTCTATTTTCGGCTAAATTAAATTAGGCAATTAGGGCTTTATATGTTTGGAAAGTTATTAAAATTTGCTGTTTTTAAAATATTTGCCCAAAATATTTGTCCATATTTTCGGCTAAAATTCAAATTTTAATTAGGGTTTTAGTAAAGAGGAGATTTTGATTAAATAAAATAGAAAAATTGCTTTTAAGTTAAACCTATTTTGAATTGGAAAGTCCTTGTAGAAAAAGCTATCTCATGCCTATATAAGAGAGTGCTTTGGCCGAATTTTTTATACAACCCAACCTCCAAAACTTCTTTTTAATCTTTGAGCCAAGTCTTTAAGGGTTTTTGGGGTAAAGGAGCTGAACTACGTCTTCTCTTTTCTTCTTTTCTTTTTAAGAAAGTATCACCTCTTAAAAGGTGAAAGAAAGTTTTGTTAGTTAGTTTGGGAAGTGTCATTGCCGAATATCTCTTCCTTTGATTCGAAGGGGGAGGGTTCTCAGATTGACATCAAAGAAAATCCAATGGAGTCTTACTTAGTTTAGGTAATTATTTGCTCATCATCATGAGTGAAGAAGTTGCTAAGTCAAAGATGTGTTGTCCATGCCGTGAAGTTGTTGCAAGAATGCAAGAATTGGAAGAATTAATGCAAGATTTTGAAGCGGGCATAATTGGTATTCGAGATGAGTTCGTCAACAAACAATTGATGAATTTCTATGACAAATTGTTTCGTATGGAGCAAGAGCTTTATGATCTTAAGCAAGAGGTTGCTTAAGTAATTTTCACACAAATAAAATCTCTTTCCTTCTGCTTTTCTTGTAGAAAAGCTCTTGCTCCACACAAAACAATTTGTTATGGAAATTATCAATTATTTGTTGACGAACTCATCTCGAATAATCAATTCTGCCCGCTTCAAAATCTTGCATTAATTCTTCCAATTCTTGCATTCTTGCAACAACTTCACGGTATGGACAACACATCTTTGACTTAGTAATTTTTTCACTCATGATGATGAGCAAATAATCACCTAAACTAAGTAAGACTCCCTTGGATTTTCTTGGATGTAAATCTGAGAACCCCCCTTCGAATCAAAGGAAGATATATTTGGCAATAACACTCCCCAAACTAACTAACAAAAGTCTCTTTCATCTTTTAAGAGGTGATAATCTCTTGAAAAGAAAAGAAGAAGAGAAGACGTAGTTTAGCTCCTTCACCCTTAAAACCCTTAAAACACTTAAAGACTTGACTCAAAGATTAAAAAGAAGTTTTGGAGGTTGGGTTGTACGAAAAATTCGGCCAAAGCACCCCTTTATATAGGCATGAGATGGTTTTTTCTACAAAGACTTTCCAATTCGAAATAGGTTTAACTTAAAAGAAACTTTCCTATTTTATTTAATCAAAATTTCCTCTTTACTAAAACCCTAATTAATTTCCGAATTAAATCCAAAAATATGGACAAATATTTTGGCCAAATATTTTGAAACCAACAAGTTTAATTAAAATATTTTATTTTAAAAATAAGACACAAAAATTTAGAAACCTTTCCAAACATATAAAAATCCTAATTGCCTATTTTAATTTAGCCGAAAATAGACTCAAACAAACAATTAATATACCTTTTTTTTAAGGAAACTCCTTCAATCCCCCTAATGTTATTAAGTAATTTTCACACAAATAAAATCTCTTTCCTTTTAAGCAATTTCCTAAAAAGAAATTGACACACACATGTTTACACATAAACCAAACATTCTTTTCCCACTTGTACTAGAAATTAAATAATTCGATCACCACACAACTTTAAATTCTCGAAATTATTCAATTAAAAACAAGATAAAATTTTTTTAGTCAAATACTAAAAACCCTCTTTCAATATTGCAATTGAACTACACAAAACATCAATCATGCATAGAAGCACATATATTCCATCTACCAAGTTCAAAGAACTCAACAAACAAAAACCACATAAAACACATTGGATCAAAAACTCTAAAGACCTAATTTTCAAAAATTATTTTGTTTAAAGATACTTAAAACAAACAAAACACAAATTAAATACTTTTAACACAAGCAATTTCCCAAAGTCCATCATGAAAACTCTTATACATGTAAATCCTAGAGTATAAAATACTAAAAATCATATCTCATTCATATAACTCAACAACTAAGAAAAATCACATAAAAGATAAACTCTCGAAAAACCAAATTCCAAACTAATGAACAATCTAATCTCCACAAGAAAGGTCTTATTATTCTTGAAAAAGATTTACTTAGGGAATTGAATTTTAATATAAACTTTTTACCTTACTACTAGACACACTTTAAAACATTTTAGAACGATTCTTTAAAAAATATGAAATCCTTCACAATTTTGGAACTGTGTCTGCAGCCCTAGTGGAAGAGGGCATGCTTTAGTGTACATGAAGGGAAGGACTGAACTTGAAACTTTTGATGTCACAATCCTTTTGTTTTTCCCCGAGAAAACGTAGAATGATAAGCCCGCGAACAAAAATGTAAAGAATTTGACTAGAAATATTATTCTACTTCTTAAAGCATAAAACAAAAATTAACCTATCAATTACTTCTACAGCTGATCTCATTTTTTATTTTTTATTTCTAAATTGAATTGTGAAAATTGAAATCGTCCTCAATCTAATCCGTAACCGTAGAACCAATCTTTCCATGATTGCGTGACTAGTTTAGAGAAATAACATGAAGATAAGAGAGAAATTGGTGTCTCTAATTATCATGTAGATGGTGTCATGTACGGGTGTACACGATTCGGGTTGTCCGATTTTTAGTCAAAACTGTTAACTAAACCGTTAGAACAGTTTGAAAAATTTTGAATCCGAAATCAAATTAATATCACTTAGAAATCAGACCAAACCAATCCGTTATCAACGGTCTGATTTCACGGTTTTGGTTTTACTTTGGATTTATTAAGGCCAAAATTTGCGCCTTTTGTTTGTTTGCTTGTTTTTTTTTTGGGGGTTACAAAAAAGGATTTTTTAATTTGCAACAAAATGAAAATAGTTTTTTACTACCAAGTTCATTTCAACATCACGTAAATGATAATTCTCTAACTAATAGGACATAGGACTTTTATGACGTTTAAAATTTTGGGAGCGAAAAAAAAAAAAAAAGGGTTAAAGGTGGCGGTGAGATTCGAACCTGTGAGAGGCTAGAAGCCTAGAACCACGCGTGGAGAAATAGGCAAGAATTTACCAATTGAGCCACATCAAATATTACTAATTATAATGGCTTACATAAGATAGTATTTCTAGTAATTTGAGAACGATTATACGAGCGTCGATGTTGATTCAGAATAGAAAAAGGAAAAAGAATTAAGGTGAGCCGGCCTGATCATACTTGTTGGCCAGTTCAAAGGGTTCCCTGTGGTGCTTTGTTAGGTGAAACCACGCATTTTTATTGATGTCTAAATTTCATTACACATTTATTGGCTTAACTCGTTCTCCCTCTATCTATTAAAAAAAAAAGGGCATGTAAGATAAATTTCAAAAACTCAACATAAACTATTTTTTTGGACGGAGGGAAGTGAGTATTATTTCAGTCGATAGAGTATCATTAGCGAAATAATCGACCAGATTATATTGTGACAATGGTTTCAAGATGATGTAATACAAAATACCATGCATATTGTAAGCATCCAGTAGCATGAGTTTGAAGTTATGCTGATCAAAAGAGTTGTAAGCGACTAGTCACTAATATACTTTTTACATAGTTGTAAACTAAGTCTCCCATTTTTATAATTAAATGATACTAGATGCTTGCCTCGGGCGAATGCTCGGGGTGCCGCCTGTATTTTTAAATCGATTAAATAAAAAATACGAATCATTCTTAAAAGAATACAAAAATAGAAGAATAAAAAATCGATTGAAAAGACAGAAAGTGAGTTATTATATATAAATCTATGCCCAGATTTATAACATTTAATTTACAACAGTTAACTTATGCTCGGCTTTACATAAATCATAAACCAATATCTACAACAGAAGAATAAAAAAAATCATCCTTAAAAAATCAAATTTCTTTCATGACAGCTTACTTTTTCTCTGTTGTAGAAAGAAATGGATTGATAATTGATGTCAAATTTTAAGTAATTGATTTAAAGGCCCAGGTGTGAGAGAGGAGCGGAATGGAAGAAATTCTTTGAAATTGGGAATTGGGAAGACATTATTGTGTTTCACTTGATTTAAGGGGATTTCCTTACATTTGATTTTATTAATTAAATATTATTGTTTTAAAATATTAGTATATACCTATAATTAAGAGATTTTTATGTAGCTATAATTAAGGGATTTATGTATTTATCTATTCTATCTTTTTTTTTTTGATTAGTTAGAGTGCCACTTGTCAAAAATGATTTTGTACTGAAAATAACTTTTGGTAGGAAAATTTTCATTGTAGTGCTGACACATGTCCTTTTTGTTTGCTGTTTTAATTAAGTACTATAGATAGTCAAGGTCTTAATTTAGGTTGGAGATTTTTCCACAAAATTGATATTTTACTCCCTCATTGCCACATTGCCTCTTATATTTAGTGTGCATGAATGAAATGATTGAAATTGCAATTCTTTTTTTTTTTTTTTATGTCACTAACCATTCCTTATTTAATGAAGTTGGAAACCAGCACAAAATAAAATGAAAAAAATTTAAAAAATAGTGGAATGAATTTGACTAGCAGCATTCTATTTCGTCAAAACTGGAGAAATTTAACGGATAAAATTTACTTCTACCTATCTAAACAACTCACGACTCAAGCAATGTAGTAGCTTACTCTGTTAGGAATAGCTTTTTCATTGCATTTTGCATAATCAAATGTTTTCCAAGTGGGGGATTTTAAAATGAGAAAAATAGAGCAAAATCTATTTGAAATGTCACCTTCTAGGAAGAAGAAGGTAACTTGGAGTAAGAGGACCACCCTACTAAATTGGGCATGTGAATAAAGCCAATTGGAATTTGAAACCAAGGGCCACAAGCCTGAAAAGTGATAAGAGCAAATAAGTCCAGCTTTTTCTTATATACTTATGTTTTCTACTTTTAAGCAAGTAATCATTCCTTTGCCAAATGTAAGCATCAAATCCCATAATCCCTTTTTAGTTTTTAGTGGTTTGATGACTTAATCACAATCAAATCAAACAAAGACGTAAAACAAACCCCAGATTCCCAAACTCCCAAATTGTTTATTTTTGTGATTATTTGACACGGATAAACAGCATTAAAGTCCAATATGATTTGGCCAGCCATGGCTGATTTTGCAATCTCCATTTCTACCATTCTTTAGCCCTTTTAGCCTTCTCAATGTATTTTTTGCTTTGGTGGGTTCACTGTTAAGGCAAGCAAATTGATTAATTAAGCACAAAACAATGCCATTACAGCTAAGTATATGATACTGAAAATTCTCCATTAATTCAAAGCCATTCAACCCTTTCTTCTTCTAAGTCTTTTTTTTTTTTTTTAACGGAAAAGCAACCACCAATTTCGTTTTTAACGTTAATAAAACAACCATAATTTTTGAATTTCCAAAACTCCTCATTTTTAGCACCCCTTTTTTTTCTCTTCCCCTCCCACTTTATCTAACCTCCTCTGTCAATCTTTAATTGTCACCAATATATTCATGATTGTTCAGGCTATGTATAGAAGATCATAGAATAGGTGTCAAAGTTTGGATTTTTGGGAAAGAAACTATGGCGACAAATATAGGGATTATGGATAGTGCATACTTTGTCGGTAGGAATGAGATTCTTTCTTGGATTAATGCCAGGCTTCAGCTCAATCTTTCTCGCATTGAGGAGGTACCTTTTTCTTCATTTTATCTTTGTGAATATCCCTGAAAACCTTTTTCTTTTTTGTACTTTTTCCTTCAATGTACATTTTATGGCGACACCATTGGTCTGATATTGGGGAGTTTGAGTTATTTTGAGAATTGACTTTCTTCAAAGGTTGGGTATGGTGTGTGTTTGGGACTGTAATTATGAATAATATGCTTCATTGTTATAATCTTCAAAGATAAAGATTGAATCTTGATCTTTCTTTAGGGGTAAATGTTTCAGCTGATGGTATTTTCCCTCTGTATTTGAACTTTATGGATACTATCTTTCTTCTGTGGGATTCATGTTTAGGATTCTTCACCTTATGATCAGTCAAGTGATGTATGGTGATTGTTGATTGAATGACTCACAGGGGGTTGAAATTTGATTGATCTTGTTGAAATTTTAATTTGAGTTTTTGCTGATTTTGTGTGACATTTACAGGAAGAACTAGTTCTTCCTTCCGTGGAATAGTTGTTTCCAGTGGGAGAGAGGGTTCTCTTAACTAGTTTTCTGCAACTTAACTGTGAGGAGACAGGAGACAAAATATTCCTGCAATTTGAGCTGGAATATCTATTCCAGTAGAGTATACTGCCTTATAGTGGCCTTAGTTATCTAAGGGTAGCTCATAATCTACTTAATCCAGAGTACAATTTTCATATTATGACTTAATCAAGTCAAAGTAGTCCCCAGATTGTGTAAGTTTAGGAGGTCATGACTCATGATATGTAGTTATTCCTTCATCATGCTTCTTGTTTCATGAAATATTTGTACACCAGTTGTCTATAAGTTTCCATGCTTTTCCATAATTTGTGCTGCTGGAGCTAAGTATATTATCGGCTACGCAACAACCTCTACATAGTTCTGTATCTCTCATTACTTGCAGACAAGGTTTTGTAACATCCAAGAGTCATCCTTCGTAGATTTTAGTGGCTTATATTAGAAAGGGATTGTGACTCAATTTTTTTGGGTAAACCTAGAACTATGTGGAGAAAAATTTGATGCCATGCTACAGTTTCTCAACCTTTTTAATCATAGTGGCAATGTTTTCTGAGGAACTTGTAACTTCTTTCATTTATTTCTTTGGTTTGGATTTTAAACATTTCTCTTGAAATTCCTTATGTCCACCAATTTTTCGGAGTTCTGAATTGGTCCATGGGTTGTCAAACCAATAGAAGAACAGGAATTTGCAGAAATCAAAAGCGACGATAGAATCAACAATTCATTTTAGCTTATGTAGGTTGCATGGAAATTTTCAATAAAGTTCAGTGCAACCAAATTGATGCTTGAAGCTGCCAATAAAGGAGTAAAGTTTAACTGGACAATCAGGGGCAAGTTGAAAGCTTAAGAAGAATATTTATCACAGTGATTAAGAGTCTGTTCTTGCCTTTAATGAGGGTTTTGTTTATCAGTCTCTTATTTCAGTTCCCTCCCTGCTTCTTGAATATCAACGTTATGTCTTTGTAGAAATGCAATAATTTCGTTAGGCGGTTCTGTTTATCATTCTTTTATTTCTATTCCCTCCCTGCTTCTTGTTCCTCCACCCTTCTCTTGCTAGGATTAGTTTTAGTATCAGCATTATGTCTGTAGAAATGCAGATAATTTCATTAGGTGCTTTTGATTTTTTTCATGTCCAATTTATGGAAACCCCATAGTCTCATAGTGGAGATGTCTGACTTGTTTTGAAATTTGGGATTCTTCAAAGTTGGCCATTTTTTGAATAATCTGCTGCATAGTTAATAATTTTTAAGGATAAAGCTTGAATATTGATCTTTCTTTTGGGTTTAATATATCAAGTTATTTTACTTTCTCTGTAGTTGGAATATTTGAATACTATGTTTCATCTATGGAATAAATGTTTGGGAAACTCTTAACGTCTGGTATGTCAAGTCACTTTAAGGTGATTGGTGATTGGATGACACTCAAGACAAGTAGGTATTGGTCTGTCTTGTTTGTTACACAACAAGGTTGTTGCAGATAAAATGTGATACTCTCAGTAACTTAAGGAAGTGGTTCTGCATTTTGTGTCAAGTGGATCCAGTGGAAGAGAAGCTTCTAATTGTAACATTCATTTTTATGTTTTTTTTTCTTCCGTTTGATGAGCCTGCCGGGAAATGGAATTCAGAAGACTATCACAATTTGAGCTAACAAAGATTCTTCTTGTGCCCTTAATGATCTTAAAGTAGTCTATAACTTGATTAAATAAGGATGAAGTTAAAAATTTTGACGTTCAGACATTGTCTCTTAATGCATGAAATTGATCCCCAGATTCTAGAAGGAAAGGTTATGCATCATATCAGCTTAGTATTTGCAGTTACCCAGATATTGCATTTTTCCGGAAAGAATGTTGAATTTAAAAGAGATTGTGTGATATTGTAACTCTCTTTTGTATATACTGATTTTGATTCTTCAAATATTCTTCTCTAACAATCACTAAGAGTTTAGAAATGGTTAATGTGTTGTCATAATAGTAGAAAGTAGAAATTTACAAATGTCGAAAGAGTTAATCATTTCATTAACTAATTCTAGTCTGTTATGGTAGGTTCTGTCTTAAGGAAACTCAAGCTTTTACTTGTCAAGCAGGACAGGTTGAAAGCTTGAGAATGAAAATCGTTAGCGTTTCAACTGTCTGTTGATTGTCTTTGTGAGGGTTTGTCTATCACTACCTCTTATTCCCTCCCCCTGCATTATAGACCATATCAATCAAATGACATTGACAAGTCATGCACGTGAAGACATGACCCTCTTAATCTGTTTTCTGTGAGGAATGAACTTGAAAAAAAAAAGAGTGGTTCCTTTTGAATGTTATTAGATATCAGTTACATTTATGCACTTCATAATTAAGAAGATAAGATTTGGCAAGAGTTGTTGTCATTCCTAATGACTGATTTAGGTGATGTAGTATTATGACGGTTACCGGTAAACTTGTGCTTGTACAAAATTTAGGAACTTTGTCTAGAGCAAATTACTCAAGGAAGTCTTTTGTTGCTAGGCTGCATCTGGGGCTGTACAGTGCCAGATGATGGACATGACTTATCCAGGTGTTGTTCCAATGCACAAGGTAATACATTTTGTTTTATTATGATTCAAATATCAGGAAATTGTATTTTTCCTTCTTGTATTCAATGACGATGCTGTTGTTCAATCTCTGATAATTTTAATTTTGATAGGTGAATTTCGATGCAAGGACTGAATATGATATGATTCAAAACTATAAGGTGCTCCAGGATGTTTTCAATAAACTGAAAATTGAGAAGGTAAATCTTTGTTTAAGCATTTTAAACCCTTCATATGATAAACTTCCTTCTAACTTCATGTGGCTATTGGAGTACATTAAACTTTTCTTGGCTGTTTATCCATTGCCTGTGCTCGCTTTTTATTTGGTCGAATTTGTTGTTCGTGCTAATCTTCTCCTAGTTGCAAACCCACTTGCTGGTTAATCTGGATTTGCAAAGCAATATATGCTGTGGTTCAATGCACTTTTTGGTAAATTCAAGTCATGTAACTCTTGTTGCTGTCCTTTATGGGATGCAATTTGGTTCTTAGCATTTGTTATACATTGAGAAATGCACTCCTTAACTACTAGTTTATTGGAGTCTAAGAGCTTTTATGTGGGCAGGGGATTCGTTTGAAAGCAACATATCATAATACCTGTAGCCCACAAGCATTAAAAATGGATATGCTTTTGACTATTAATATATATTCTGTTGATCCTGGAGTTGATTGAGTAGTAATCTAAATTCTGTTTACTATAAAATTGTAACTTTAGTATTTACTTTTTCATTTTGTGTGCAGCATATTGAAGTTAACAGACTTGTTAAGGGCAGAACTTTGGATAACCTTGAGTTTCTTCAATGGCTTAAACGCTACTGTGATTCCATAAACGGGGGCATCATGAATGAGTAAAGACTTGATACCGATGAGTTTAACATGTTTCCAGAATATGTAATGAAAGTCTATTTAATTATGTTGTGTGTTTTTCGGTTTCTCCAGAAATTATAATCCTGTGGAGCGCAGATGTAAAGGTGGAAGGGAAAAATGTCTCAAGCCTCTGAGAAGCTCAAAGTCTCTGCAAACAAATAACTCTCACAACCATGGTGCTGGGGATGGCTTAAGCATCAACAAAGTATCTGGTTAGTGACCTCATTTATATCGGCTTCAGGGTTTTCCAAATCTTGGATTCTCATCCACCTAGTCTTAATGAAGGGAACAAGCCAGGGAAACCATACCAAGTATCTAGTGGGACAAATTCCTCTGAGATTCAGGCATTAACGAAGGAGGTACATGAATTTTTTTATTTTGTTTTTATTTTATTTTATTTTTTCTTTTAACTAGGGCAACATTCTTGAATTTCATATAGATGGACACATCTGCAGTTTTATGTTCAACCTTCTTTACACACTAAGAACTGGGAAATGGAGGTAGTGTAATGGCATGGCCACCTGTTACTTTGTAGTCACTAATCTATTGAAGAGTCATGGAAGATTGAGACATTTTGTAATCTAGGATGTACGTTTTCTAGGAATCAACCCTTTCGCGTGAAGCTTATAGATAATATATACGCATTCTATGTAGTTTCAGTGTTCTTGTCAGTTTTGGAGTCTTAGGACGCCTTGCAAAAAGTGAAAACATTGTTGTAAAGTCGCGATATTTTTTTTCTTGTGATGAGTTCCAACACATGGTATTCCAGATTACAGATCTGAAGCTCTCTGTCGACCTTCTGGAAAAGGAAAGAGATTTCTACTTCGGGAAGTTACGAGACATTGAGATACTCTGTCAGACCCCGGAATTGGACAATCACCCGGTAAGATTTTCTCTGATACTCGAGGCCACTGACATATCATAACAAAACTATAGAGTCTCTATTCTTTCGTTGCAACTGAACTACAAAAGCAGAAACTTGCAAATAATACATTTAGTTATCGCTGTCCTTTCCCCCCACCTGTAGGAGGATTTTGTCTGCTTAGACTTCTAGAACACGAATACATTTAACAAGTAGTTATCTGACTTCATTTGCTCTTCGCAAAATTGTTGCAGATGGCTGTGGCAGTTAAGAGGATTTTATACGCTGCAGACGAGAAGGAACCTGCACTTGAAGAAGCGCAAGAGATAATTTCTCAGTCCATTAATGATGATGTTCAAGCTGATGCCAATGAGGATCATGATGCCGAAAACTGAAAAGGGAGGATTGTTTGTAAAATGTGCCCACCTATAGTGGTCTCAACCTCTCGAATCACCTCTTTCGATCTCTTTTCTTCCCTCTCTCTAAGAATTAATGGTGTTCCATCATGTCCAGAATGGCTGGCATTTATGTGGTTAGCTTATTAGATTGTTTCTGCATTAGATTTGTTGAGAATTTCTTCTGGGGTTGCTCTGCACAAAGCGTTTACTGATGTAATTAGCTAATGGAATATGGACTTTGTCGTCCTCCTCAATGCTGCATCATTCTCTCTTGCACCAATTGAAGGGAAAAAAAAAATCCATTGATAATCGAGTTTGTATCTTATTATCGAGTTTGAATTGATAATGACAAGAAAAGCCTTGATAATTTAGGTATGCATTCGGGTACTTTTTACCAGTGAAACTCATCCACATAATTATTTTTCAAATAAATAAATGAACAAAAATACGAAGGTTTGTTATAAAAAATTTATTAGGTACATCATATTTTGCTGTTTTGTTTCTTCTGCTCCAAATGATAATCTATAGGTCAGTGATCTTGCCAGGACAGTTTTTAGCATCCAGGCAAAATTTTGCCGAACTTCCAAATCCGTCCCTCGTGAAGTCAAATTACATATTCTCTTCCGAGCTCCGTTCAATTAGCTTATTAATCTCAATTTTATTTCTCCCTCTTCCCCCTGCTGCCTGTAAAACTTTGCCGGCAACGGAGCTGCTGGTTTATCAGTTTTCTTTCGAACTCTGTTTAGGGTTAAGAGTTCTAAGATTTGAATAGAGGTTGTGAAAACCAAAAGCGACCTCTGTTTACATTTAAAGTTTGTACAGAGGTTGCAAACGCCTTATGCGAACTCTGTTTAAATTTAACAAATTCTTGTTTGGGATTTTCTGATCATGAGCTTTTGGTGATGATGATGCTTCAGTTGGGAGTGTTTTGGATTGGTTTTACGGGTTTAATTTAATATCATCTTCCTCGTCTCCGCTTCCTAATTAAATCCAATAATCTCTTCACATCGATGATCGATCATTGGTTATCCGAAGCTGCCATGAGCCGCCTCACCAAGTACGTTGAACTGCATCTCTATTTTCAAAGAATGCCCTCTATTTAAAGAAAGTTTCAGAGAACAGAGATTCATGAAAGAAGGGATACACGATTTCTCCGAGTGGTCCAAGGTAATCAAGGACAAAAGGAGCAGTTGATTATTATGACTGTTTTAAAAAATTGCTTCTTTAGTACGCATTATTAATAATTTGTTTAAGCTCTGCTCCTTATGTTGCTGCACGCATCCTTCCAACTCCATTCCTATACAAAAAAAACTATTTTATGACTCTGCAAGTTTTTCATTTTTTCCACTTGGGGGAGGCCACATTGACAACTAAAACTCAATATGGAGATTACGAAGAAATCTTCCACAATAGTAATCTAATAATTCTAGTGTTATATGCATTCATCCCACTTTCTCTACAAATTTCTCTCCACCAAATAAGTTTTGCTCTGTGATTAGTAGTACTTCGTTTTTTGTGCCTCGGTCCATAATGCATAAGCACGTCTGTTTTTTTTTTTTTTTTTTTTTCAAGTAGACAAGTACTAATATTCAAGACATCACTTATTTTGAAGAAGCAACCAAAAAGGAAAAAAAGAGTACTAGTTACTACAAGTGAAATAAAGGCATAAGCTCCTTGAATCTTCTTGCAGCACCCGACCCATGTAAGATACCGTGAAACAATTTCTACTTAGATTCTTGCTCTGTTTCCAGGTTTATTTTTCACTTTAGTGGCTGATTCAATTAGCTTATTAATCTCAATAATCTTTTCCAATCTTTATTCTCTTTTGTGGTTTATGACTACCCATAGGGTTTATTCTGGAGTTTGTTTTGCAAATTTCAATCCCGATTAACTAAAACGATAAACCTTTTGTTTGAATTTAGAAAGGAGACGAATGGGAGAGAAACGTGAAGGAGAAATGAAAAAGATAATGCGGAGTTCAGGGGAAAGAATTTCAATTTGACTTCATGAGGGGCAGATTTGAAAATTAGACAAACTTTCGCCCTGAATGCCAAAAATTATCCTGACAGAATCACTGCCCTAATCTATAAATTTACTCTTTTTTATTAATGCTTAAAAGTCAGAAGCATTAAACATAGTTTTCGAGCACAAATGAGACCACATGTAAAACCTTTTTTTTTTCAAAAAAAAAAGAGAGAACACTACCATCTATCTCATTATATTAGCAAGGATTACGCTAGCAAGCTGACCTAGGGGATCTATCCCATTAGTTAATCAGGAATTTAAAGATGAAAAAGATTTACTCCGTGAATGACAGAATCTGGATAGATTGGTAAGAGTAAGGATTATACTCGACGATTTCGTAACTGATGGAACGGTTCTATATATTCAATATTTCAAAGCAGCTCATTCTTTTTTTTTTGTTTTTTTTGGTACCAAGTAGCTCATTCTAATTTGAGATCCATTTTCATAAAAAGAGCAGTCGCACCATTTACTAAATGCATAGCCTCCATTTCAATGCTTGTAGCACATCAACTATCGAACTATGTTATGGTCGCAAATTTACATAACTTCTTTATCAAACTCCAGACAATTTGTAACAGAACCCTAAAGGGACCTCTTCAGCTGACATAAGCACCACCATTCGACAAATACACAATCAACAGTAAAACAGTTCCTTTGTTGTTTCCTTTATCATTTCCTAATTTACTCTAAGGGTATCCCACATGCTGCAACAATATATGTAGAGGGGGAAAACCACCAGTTGTCAGTTTTGTATCAGAAAGTTTTGCTGCTCGCAAAAGATGGTGAAGAAGGAGACTAAACTGACAGTGATGTTGTTGGATAAAGGAGATAATTTTGAAACAGGCCATGCTTGCTTTTGGTCATCATTGTTCTGAAAAATGATTCTCTATAAGAATGAAAAACAACAGAAAGCCACAAGAGTGAGATGAAGATGTAAGCTCAAACAATCATCTGTATTCTGTTCAAGAATTTAAGACAGAGAACAAGAAGTCTTTTTTATGTAAAATTATTCAGTCGCTTATACTTTAGGGGAAGCATAGCATCATTATCATTTACAATCAAAAGTAAACGCATGTTGCCCAATGCTGAAGAATCTATTAAGGATAGTTGCATACAATGCTAACAGCATCCTTGACATTGATCAATGAAAGATCCTCATTAAGTTTCTCATGATGCATTCAATGCAACCATTATCAACTGTCATGTACAAATTCAAGCAACTATGAGAGACTGTCAGCCTGTTGCAGATCAGTTTTCCTTTAAAGCTGTTTTAACTGGTTTCCCAATAGGAACAACAGACACTGGTGTTGCTGAAAAATCAGAACGCTAGAGTTAAAGATGGGAAGGTGTAATTTATATCTTATTGCATTGAATTATATTACCCTCTAGTGCACATCCTAAAGCTTTATCTATTCAACATATGATCCTTCCTTAGCAAAGGCCCGAACTTTTGCCTTGGTGAAATAGACAAGAACATCTTTCGGACATAGCAACGCATCACAATAAGAGATGCAGAAAGCATAGATATTTAACATGAGGCTCAAGAATGGAAATTGCATCTACTTGTTATCATGCTCTTCAATGAAGAATCCACGCCAAACTCACAAGTTCTGGGAAGGTACGTGTCCAGGAGTAGTAATAACTAATAGTTTTACATGAGTTGCGAGAAATCATACCAGCGCTCAACATACAATTGAGCTCAACTGGCAGATGCTACCATGGTATTCCTCATATATTCACATTCACTTTGCAGGTTATCTCCCATAGAAGAATTCAGAGATGTAGAGTATAATATTGTAAGATAATGGTGATGCTGGAATTGGCTCCGTTATTAAGAAATGCTCATTGAATTGCAGTTGTTTTCTAGAAAAGAATCTGATGTCCTGCTGCAGGAAGCCGCTGGAGGTACTCTTGCTGCCATATCTTTTAACTACAGAAGGATTCAGCATTCAACAGAGGTTTATCAGCGATGACTGAAAAATTACTGTTTTATCAAGAACAATAAAAATCCACTGGAAACCTACATAAGCAGTTTATCAGCAATGACTGAGAAATTACTGTTTTGTCAAGAACAACAAAAATTCACTGGAAGTTACATACGAGCCCAGACAAAGTTTAATTAGTGGCCATGTTGAACAAATTTACAAAAAGCCATCCTAGTTAGCAACTGGTATGAAATACTCATCTAACCATTTCTAATTCCACATTCTACCATTGAAGTTTGTTGTGAAATGTAACAAGAAAAATTTCCCAGAAACTTTTCATAAAAAATGCTCAAACACAAGTGATTTACCTGAATCATAAGTGATTTAATCACTAGCTTTGCAGCATTGTTTTTCTCTGCTTCGGTCCTGGCTAATTCCCTAGCTACCAGTATTTTGCTTGATGTTTTTTCCAGTTCAGATGCCAGGAAATCAGATCTGCGGTTGAGATAATCCACCTGCATGTCATTTTATCGGTTCCAGTTATAATGACTCCGTTGGTCAGTATGTCACTAAAGATGTTACAGTATATGCTAATGTAATCCAGTTCATACAATAGTGAAGGAATTATCACAATCACCTGCTTAATTAGGGAAACACGAAACCCTATTTCATTTGTAATAGCCGAGATTCACACTAATTTTATTAGTTTCAAAGTCCCGCCAGACCTACCAGAAATTCTACTTCCAAAATAACTAAATGCTCTACGTGGTGCAACTTAGTATTAATGAAAAGCAGGTGGAGGGATTCACATTTAAAAGAAAAAAAAATTTAATAAAAAGCTGAAAGCCAGAAGAGAAGAACAAGAAATCATAACGAAGTTCTGGAGTCAATTCTTTTTTCTTTTTTTTTTTTAAATGGTACCTGTTTATTAATTGAAGATACCTAGCCTATTACCTTGCATTCTATCATAAGCTAAATTATGCAGTGCATGAACGTCTTGTCTACTCACTTTAATCAGTTCACAAGACTGAAAAGAGGAAACTAACGAGAATAACAAGGACTCAATAACTCCAAACTCACAAAACCTGAAACTAGTCAAAATATAATTAATATCTGGGAGATTCTTAATAGAAGATAAGGGGTAGAGTAGAAATGTGCAAATGCTTGCATTATCTGAAAAAGGGAGTTGGGTACAACTAATACCTAGTTAATAGATTGAGATCTTTTAAAGCAAAAGGCCATGTTAAAAGTCTGAAACAGGAACAAAACAAGGATTCATTGTGTATCCACATTTTTTTTGGGTTTAAATGACCTATATCCAATACCATCAGTGGTTTAAATTAAGCATTAAGAAGAAAGAACTTCATTTTCTACAGTGAACCAAGCATTAAGAATAGCAAGTGACAATTTACCTGTTCTCGCAGCATTAAAACTTCATCTTTGACGTCGTCATTCTTCTGCTTTAGATTGTCAGTACTGAGTTCAAGGAAGGGAAAAGAAGCTGTTGAAGATGTAACCATTGGCAAGCTTTGTGGACTTGATCCCCCAGAGACAGGAGATACAGCTTGAGAATGCATTGCTGAACCAGGAAGAGAGATGCATGCTTTGTCAGAGTAGTCTAAGACAGGCTTTGATGAACTCGATATGCAGGACCTGTCACACTGAGAGATTTCACTATAGCTTGGAGAGCTATTCCCACTAACTGAGTTTGACTTGTGGCTCCTCTGCAATTCCCGTGCATCAGACCTTTTGGTTGAATCAAAAGAAGTGAGTCTGGAAATGATGCTGCGTGATTTAATGTCCAAGGATTCCTTTTCCTTGGACTCAACTGTACTTCGTTCCTTGTTTCCTTTTGAGAACTTTGGATTTGGAGGTAGAGAAGCCAGAGATGAATCAGAGTTTCTCTTCAGTTTGTTAAAACAGCAGTCACATACATGATATGTTTTGTTTTCATCTGGCGCCAGGGAAGCTTTTAGAGATTTTTTAAAGCAGCATGCTCTACAGAAAGACAGCCCACAGTGATAGCATTTGTGGCGCTTCCTTTTGAAGTTAAATGGATGAAAGCAACCTGAGCAAACTGAACGGTCCGCAAGAGATGATCGTCTGTATAGACAAATGGCAACAGTGAAATTGCTCCCACAAACTACAGCCTTCACTTTTTTGTTCTTCAAAGATTCGACCAGAGTGGGAGTGTTCCGATCAATGCCGTCTCCATGCCCTAATTGACCATTTTTTCCCCTTCCCCAGGTGTAAACTTCAGATGTTGAACTCAGGGCTGCAACATGGAAAGATCCACAAGCTATATCTTCTATAAAGATGTTTTTAATTTTTCCCAGCACGCGAGAGGGTAAACTGCCATTGTTTCCAAGGTTGCCAAGCTGTCCATATTCTGCTCTTCCCATTGTGTATACATTACCCGAGGTTGTAAGAGCAACTGTAATGCTGTGACCACAAGCCACCTTGCGGAAGCTTTCTTTACCCAAGGTAGTAATGCAGCAGGGTACAAGTCTAGATTTTTTGTCCCCATGTCCGAGTTGGCCATTGTCACCATTTCCCCAAGTGAAAAGCTTTCCATCTGTTGAGGCACTAGAATTTTCTGTTCTCGCAGAAACATCTACTACAGCTGCAGTGTGCCAAAATCCACAAGAAACCATCACTGTTCGAAGTCCTTTCAAACTTTCAACTTCTCGTGGAGTACTTGTACTGGAACAATCTCCATGACCTAGAGCACCAAAGGAACCGTCTCCAAATGTAAATAATTGACCCAATGATGTTATAGCTGCTGAATGCCAAGGTCCACAAGAAACAAATGAAATGTGCAAACCCTCTATCTGGCCAGTTACTTTTTTAGGAGTCCAGTGACTAACTTCATTTCCATGACCAAGAAGTCCTACGTTATGAATTCCATCACCCCAAGTATACAGGTCACCAGCTGCTGTAAGAGCACAAGAATGATATTCTCCACAAGCAACTACTTTAATACTCAATCCACTTAGAGTATCTACAAGTGTGGGGTTATGAATGTCAGTTTCTACTCCATGACCTAGCTTACCACCTGAACCCTCACCCCAACTAAAAACTCCCCCTTGTTTGGTGACTAGGAGAGCATGCGTACTGCCACAAGCAATATCAAGAACATCTAGTAACTGAGCAGATTCCAGAACCTTTGGCAGAAAAGCATCTGCTTCTGCACCAGATAGATCTCCAATTTTGTGCTGACCCCCACCCAGGAAACCATCACCAGTCCCTTTTCCGCAAAAGTAAATATCATTAAGGTCATCAAAATCTTCAAAAAAGGACTTCTGACTCGAGGAAGAAAGTGCACTGGTGGAACTAACTCGTGAACTATCAGCAGAGTTTTTACCATTTTCATCATCAGTATTCCTGTATGACATCAAGCTTGAGGAATTTGTGAGCAAATCTCTCTGAGGAGAACATTCAGAGGATCTATAGAGTAAGAAGTCAGAAAATGTTCGTCCCAATCTTTTCTGAGGGTGAACTTCGGATGAGAGTGGACTTGCTTGCATGTGTTTTGAACCCTGTTGGAACAACATAAACTTGATAAACATGACTGAATAAAGCAATAGGAGAACAGTCCGATGTTCATTGAACAGCATAGAAAGGAAACCTCATAGGACATGTCTCCACTGCAAATTGAAACGGTTGAACATGAGTTTCTTGGAGTTTCGGCATCTGTAAGGTTTGGAAAGCCATTGCTTCTCCATTTTTGGCTGTTATTTAGTGAGATCAATGTTTGAAGTGCAAAGAACCAGATCTCAGCCTCTTCCTTGTCTTTGCATATCTGTCAAAACTGTTCAGTCATCGACCATGCTACACACAAAAAACTATTTTCTTGAAATTTACACAAACAACTGGAATAAGCACAAGTATGTCTATATCCATATTGAAGATCCGACGTTGATTTGGTAAACATCTTGCCGAAAAATATTAATTATTTTAATCAAGTTAGGGAACAAAAACCTTTATGCCTTTTTTCTAGCTTAGAATGAATTGCAAGACTCAATCCCATTCTATGATGCAATAATGTAATTTTTTCTTCCACTCAAGTACCCAAGCAGCAATATTAAAGATCGGGCCTCAAAGATAGAAAATTCGAATAACTTGGATTTCTCTGTTGACATTCATAACCCATTATCGAGCCAGGAACTTAAGAGTTGGACTTTCACCACATTGCTATCTCATGCATTTAAATAGTTAAAACTTCATTCCCGCAGGAAAAAAAAAAACCATTTGTAGATTTCGTAGAAAAGGATTTGTTGGTTCAATCAAGACTGTTGGAATGGGGAAAGACACCAAAGAACAAAAACAAAAGAAGATAAGAAAAGGCATCATGAGAAAGTGTAACAACTATTTACTGATGTGATGGATCATAGCTTGAGTTCATCATGATAAATAAAGACATGAACAAACATAAAAATCTGGAACTTCTAATAATGGTGATTTCAACATTTGGATATTTTTCAAACGTATCAAAATTATCAAAATTCACTCAGACAGGATGCCATCAGAATTTGTGAAATGGCCATAGTAAAGTCAAAATCAAACTTGACTAAAACTTAAATCTGAAATAAATAAGCTTAATTAATACCAAATCCAAGGACCGGTTGCCATATATCAGAGAGAATGATTGATATTCCTTCTCAGGTCGAGGAAAACGTTGGAAGACTGCCTGCAATCATAAACATACAAAAGACAGAAACTTTAGTCAATTGCCTGAAGGAAAGAAGAGCCAGTAGGCCATTTCCATATAGAGAGATCACGGAAAAAAATACAAAAATATGACCATGAGAAATTCATTATTTACCGCGTATCAAAGTGCAGTTTAATCCCAAAAAAACTGTTACAACTATGACAAAGGCACGGGTTAACAGAAAAACGGATACATGATACTTTTTTAAAAAAAAAGACAGAATTTTTTGCAGATGACATTGCTGAAAACGATGGTTGCTAAAGAATTGAAGGCATTGCTAACAAACAGCCAAACACTACCGGTGGTGCTGTATGATAGATAAATGGCGTATGTCGGTAATAATACTTGTTTCAGGTTGACACACACTGATCTAGTTACATTAGCAATCAAGTAGTTGGTGTACCATTGGACATTGTTGACATGCAGGGGGAGAATTAAACTTAATGCATCAGTGTAGAAACTACAATTTTAAGTGCAATACAGACAGAGTAAAATTGGTATTGAACTACTGCCACAGAGGCTTAATCAGCTTTAATGCAAGCAGCTGTTGTTTTCAAGCCCGGTGGCCTGTTGGGGGAAAAGTCAATTACATTTACAGAGGAAAGCAAAAAAGAAACAAAAGAGAAGAGCTAATGCCATCTCATGAGTCTGATATAATCATTTTTTCTCAAAAAGCAAGCTAGAAGACAGTCCCATGATTCCCTTTGTGTTGTATTTCGCTTAAAAAACCATACCAAAGTTATTATCATTAATAAGAGGATATTGGATACTGAAACATGCAGACTATTTATTTCTTCCTTCCTATGAATATTCCCTTCTTTCCAATGGTTGTTATTTCAGAAACACAATCTATTGGAACACAATTATGAATTGCGATAAACAGGAGTCAGAATCAAACTTACTGTACGCTGTCCAGGTATAATTCTTGAAACATCATTTAGTACAAGCCGTTTCTCCTGCTTGCCAATATACCATATCAGTGCTTTCTCGTCCTGAAATAGCATGTCAATGGCCAGATCAATTACATGGAAAGAAGTTAATTCCAGCTCATTAAGTCTGACAAACAATGCTGTTTGTGTTTATGAGGGTTGCAAAACAGAGGAAGGGCTTTAGATTGATGATGTTTTTGTGATTTAAAAAATACAATTAAAAAAAAAAAGAAGAAGAAGGGGATTAATGCAGAAAATAATGTTGCAGGAAATGGTCATGCAGTTATTTTATAATCTATTTTGGCTCAGAATCATTGACTCTGAAAAGTGGAATTTCTATGGGTTCACATCTTAGTATGTTATCCTATAACAGCCTTGAACTAAAACACTGATTATTTTCACACTACTCAGAACAAATTCTTATACTAATACAGCAAAATGACTCTCTTACAATTAACTTGAGGAAAAGTATATGAAGGAGCCAAGTGAAAATGAGAAAGCCAGGCCGTCCGAATAGGAAACAGTAACAGTAACTAAGTATTTTGTTCTATTTCCAAAATAAAAAAATATGGACTGAAAAATTGTAACAATTATAAAGGTAATAATATGCGAAGCAATTTATCACTTGATTCATGCATAAACACCAAAATGGGTAAAATTGGAATTGTATGCTTAATGTAATTCACATATTAACGAGATAGGGACTTACATTTGAGAGCTGAAAGGGGTGGAACTTGGGCTTTCCCCTCCGCCCATACTTCAGTAGATATGATCCTCTTTTTAAGGCTGTAATAGCCTGTGAAAGTCATAGACAAGCAAATGAGACCATCCTGTATAAAGAATGACTGTCATAGATGTAGCTGCTGGTTTAATTTTCAGGACTTTCGCGAGATTCATATGCAAGTTATCTAATTAACAGGTGTTTTTCCATGGTAAACAAAGAAATTTAAGATGAAGCGTTGTTTTTGCACGGCATTGGTTGAGGCTTATGAAAGTTACATGTATGTCAATCAATGTCGCACTAATCAGGTTGTCAAAGAAATGCATCTCCAGGCCCTCCATCCAGTATGTAATAACTGTTCAAAAACACAATCCTGACCCCCAGTGTAAATATTGCAAATTCCATCCAATGAAAGGAGTTAAAGTTCAAGCAACGACAATCTAGAAAACCAATTATTCTTTAGCCAAGTTCCAATCATCAAGTGAAGTTGCAGCATCCACAAGTTCGTAATTGACAACCTTAAGGAGTGGTATTAATTACTTCACACGGGTGATGACATGTTCCCAGAAGATAGCATTTAATTCCTTTGTTATTATTTTGGTTACGAAATGGCCAGCTTAAGGTCAGTTTTTAAGAGCAGACAGAGAATGGAAACACATGCATCAACATCACATAGAAAACAAAATACCTGCTCAATATTCCTTTCACCGAGACTATTTCTCCGTGAATTAGTCATTCAAATTGCAATATCAAGCATTACTCTTCAAGCGATCAAAACCACCCACACTGTGCCAAGCCTACAGAAGACAAGCAAACTGTGAAAATTGTAACATGTAAGCTTCATGCATTATATATAGCCAGTGAGATCTTCCCAATTCTGGCATCATGACTTCAAAGGCAAGTTCTACACACAATATGTACCATGCAGATAAATAACTAGAACATTCATTATATGGATCAGATTACATAAACAAGCATCAGAATTCTGAATTCTCAACTAAAAAAGCCCTGTATACAAACTGTACTTAAATATATACCAGTAGCATCTACTTTAAATGCTTCATAACAAGATTCTTAGATTTGTTTCCAAAATTCTACGTAGAAATGAATAAAATGAAAGCTAAAAACGTTCCATAATTATATTCAAAAGCTATATAAATTCAACATTCACAGAATTCCGTCAACTGAGTTAAACTAAAACCTACACACAATTCCAAAACAGAAAACCAGAAATTAACCAGCAAAATTCAAAATTTCACCATAAACAACGTAAATTAGCTGAGAAAAACCAAATCAGGAGGAAAAACAACGAGAAACTTCCAAAGGTAGTAGCAAATTTCGCGAAATGAATTTAGACTACGCCTGAAAGGAACATTTTCACGTATACCTACAACGACAGAACGAGCGCCATTGTTAAAAAGTTCAAACTCACCGGCAAGGTGAAAGAAACTCGACGAGAGTGCCGACGCCGGGAAATTCGTCTCCGAACGGGAAGATTTCGAGCTCCAGAAAAGCTACAAGAACGGAAAATCGATTGTGAGAGATTGTTGAAAGTGTCGCCGAACTGTCTTCCTCCGTTTCTCCTTTCGCGCGCTTTCTTCTCTCTGTCCTCTCTGTTTCCAGCAGTAGCGAATTTGTAGCTCTTTTTATAAACAGCTTAACAGAATGGCCCCTCCAATTTTATGCCGTACGGCTATTTGCCACGTGGCATCTCAACAAATCGTGTTGACCCATGTCAACGTAGCAATCAAAATTCAAAGAATATACTCTTCCTTCACGCCTTTAGATATCTAAAATCACGCTTTCCATATTTATATATATTGAAAAAAATACAGCGACTTTACTAAAAGCAAAGCTCAGCATGTCGTTTACTATCAAAAACCACGCTGGCCAACTCCGACCGCTTCCGGCTTACGCCGGTGCCGTCGTCGGATTAGCTGTCTTCGCCGCTATCTTTCTTGTGGATCCTACTTCTGCAAGGAGACCTCACGTCATCAATTTCCGAGCTCATAATCTCTACCCTGAATCCTTTGTATGGGATCCAAAGGACCAACACTTCATCGTCGGATCACTCCGCCATCCAAGTCTCCAGTCCGTCTCCGACGCCGGCGTATCCGAAACGCTCATCTCCGATCCTTCCCTCCCGCCTAATACTTCCTTCCTAGGGCTCTCAATCGACCGCCAGCGCCGCCGCGTGCTTGTTTGCGTCCACCGTCAATCTTCCCCGCCATTCAACGCCCTCGCCTCTTACGAAATCTCTTCCGGAAAGCGTATCTTCTTGACCCCCCTCGTCGGAGACTCCGAGTCACACGACGTCGCCAACGATGTCGCCGTCGATTACTCCGGGAACGCGTTCGTCACCAACTCGGGAGCCGACCTAATCTGGAAAGTCAACGTCGATGGGGAAGCATCAATCCTATCGAAATCCAAAGTCTTCAAATCTCATCCGGTGGACGAAACCGCATTCTACCACAAGTGCGGCTTAAACGGTGTCGTCTACCACTCAAATGGATATCTGTTAGTTGTCCAATCAAACACCGGGAAGCTATACAAAGTCGACACCGACAGCGGCAGCGCAAAGACGGTGATATTGAACAAGGATATCACGGCGGCTGACGGCGTCGCCATCAGAAACGACGGAGTTTTAGTGGCGGCGAGCCACTCAAAGATGTATTTCTTGAAAAGTCAAGACGGCTGGAGCGAGGGTGTAGTATTTGACGAAACTGCCCTTGAGGTTGAGAAGCAGACGAGCGCCGTAGCAGTGGGAGAGCAGAACAGGGTGTATGCGTTATATGGGTACGTGTATGAGGGCATGATGGGAAATTCAAAGAGGGATGAGTTTGGCATTGAGGAGATTGAGTCTGAGGTAGAGAATAAAGGGGAGAAAATTTGGATTTATGTTTTGATTGGTTTGGGGATGACTTATTTCATGATCTGGAGATTCCAAATGAAGAAGCTCGTTAGGGATATGAACAAGAAAAAAAACTGAAGAACAAATTTTGGCCTCTCAATTTTGTGTTTTCTAGTTTCTCACACAACAGATAAAAGTATTGGTTTTGTAGTTGTAATTTAGTTGTGTTGGTTTGTAATTTAGTGACTAATTTTTTGCTTCCAAAATTTTGTAGTACTAATGTATTTCTGTTATTCGCTACTCGGATGATATCGCCAACAAATTTTGCCTTTTTAATAAGCTCGGATGAGTAAGAAGAGTTTAGAATTCTGCAGAAAAGTATACAACAGATTACTACAGTATTTAATTGGATTAAGGATACATCTTGTTCTATGTTGACTCTGTTAAATTTGATTCCAAATCAAAACCCTCAGTCATGGGATTACACCTACATTACCCCTTCTCTATCAAAAGATTTTCACGCATCCAACCTCAAAAAAAGTACAGGAATACCTAGTTTTCAGTTATTAAGTGAAGGTTGGTACAAACTACAAACAGCAGAACCAGTTTATGATGCTAGCGTCTACAGAGCAAAAACATTGTTCACGGAATTGATATTTTCAACAGGCAAAGCGCTCTACTCTAGCCGAAAACATAATTAAGACATGCCGCTTGTGAAATGCATTCTAGTCAAAATGATCAATATCTATAGTCGTCGTCATAGTAAGTGGTGTAGTTGTCGTGGTTTCTGTGAGTTGTTGCCCTATCGCCCTGCACAAGAAGATATTCAGCTATTCAGTTTCAGATCATATAAGGCAATATCTCAGTGACAATACCGCACACTTGTTAAACCAAACAAAGCTGAAGAGATGAACAAAAGCAAACATACCCTGTGAATCAACTTCTCAAATTCTTGAGTTCCATGTTCTTGAATGTACTTCTCGGCTGCAGTGAGAATGTCCTCTCGCTTATTAGAGGCATCCTTCTTCCGTGGTACATACCAAATGTTGACTGTCTCTCGAGTGACAAAAGTAGGCCTAACAAAATGCTCATAGACATATGCAGCTCCATTGAAGTATGGTATGACTAACCAGCAGGTCACAATCAGCTTCGCATATGACCAGATAGGAATCCTTGACATTCAAGTTTGAGGAGTTACTAAATTTCTCAGAAAGAAGATGCTACATCAGAGAACTTTTACAACAGACCACACCGCACACCGCAATGTCATAGAAATTGCAAAAGTTCAACCAAATTACATCTTACAGGAAGCCAACTGAAATGAAAATTCAAGTATGAGTTGGTCATAAATTTTCCAGTTTGCCTTATCTTTCTCATGAAAAATTGGGATCAGAGTAACATTTCAGTAGCTTGTCGTTTGCATCTCTGCTGCACTCTTTGCAGCAGATACCAATTAAACCTTCAAATATTGCTCATGAAATTAAAGATCTACATTGTCAAATTGTACTGAAACAAAAAGAATTAAGGCAGGTTGGAACCTTTTTAAAAAGACAATCAACATACAGATCATCACCAAGCGGAAAGTTCATAATTAGAAGACAAAACATCACAAGCTTAAGCATGCCAAGTCTAGAGTGGCCTTCTAGGCAGATGCTCAGTACCGAAGCAAGTCACTTAAGGCAGAGCATACACTGATGGGACAGACTTGTATTTCACCCCATTTTCTTGCGAAGAACTCAAACATAAAACACAACCCATTGAGCCACTCCACTGCAATAAAGAAAAGTCAATGCATTCAACTTTCATTAAGTGTCAAGATTGTTGTTGAATCACAATAATTCAATGCGCTACAAGTCACAGTTACAATTGTTACCCCAAGGCAGATATTAAATCTCTTCAACTCTCTCCTCTCACTTATACCACGCAATCAGTTTAGTCCCGGAACATTATTTATCTTCATCAAGATAAGATTGTATGCCACTGAGAACCAACCAGAACTAAATGCATTGAACTAACCTCGTAGCAAGCAAGGGCGAAGGGGAGGTAAGAGTAAAGAATAAATGCATACCAGAGCAACTCAATCAACAAACACATTTCCTCCAATGGAAGGTAAGACTTAAGAGTAAAGCATAAGTGCAAAGCATAATACTCAATCAAAAAATTTCATTTCCTCCCCAGATTGCATCACTTTTAACATTTATCATAAGATTCCGAAACATAGAAGCGGAAACTAGAATCACCGAAGCAAACAATGCCCCTCAGAAGATCTACAAACCACATAAGAACAAGATAACAGTCAACAGCTCATTACACAACACAGCTCCTCTGATCACACATAAAACTTCAGAGAAAAGTGCATTTCCATCAAGTCAAAGAGAACTCACATATCAAACATTTCAGAGACAACAGCAAAAGGCAGTTCAAGTACATAGTGCAACTCATCTATATCTATCAATGAAGCATGAGAAATTCAGAAATTTTATCTCATGTATATTTTAGTGTAACACACTTTAGACATTCTTCAAGATTATTTTTTTTTCGGTTCATAGCTAATCGTGGCACACTTATTCTGTTCATTGTCCATCAGAATAATTAGTATAACTGTCGTCTGTTGAGCAGATGAATTGCGTTCAACTCGGATGGTCTAATTCAAGAATTGTGATACCAGAGGAATCTAAATCTAATTAAAAAATTTCAATGGGGTAAGCATCCACACTGAAATACTTGTGATTTTGTTGAAATAGAAACAAACTGAAAATACAAACCATTAAACAACAACTCAAAAGCATATAACTGGGGTAACTAAATGGTCCATCTTAAGACTGAAATAATCATATAAGGAGAGTCAAATACAAAAAAGGTTAACCACACATACCATATACAAAATCTAAAGGAAGGAAAGGGGAAATACCATTCAATGATTTTGGCAAAAGTTAGCTCAAACAGGGTGATCATGGAGTATAAAATCCAATAGGTAAGCCACTGCTGATCATCCACTGGGGACTTGGTCTCGATTGCCCTAATTGAAGCATAACTGCCCACAAAAGATTTTCAAAAATTCACATCGCCTCAGAGACATAAAAAGGATATTTCTTTCTCAATTTAGACTATCACAGACCAAATTAAGCAAATTCATGAAAAAAAAAGAAAAGAAAAGAAAAATCTACTTACAGAGGATAAACCAGACTAACCACAGGCCTGAAACAAAACCAAGAAAAAGAAGACTGAATTAGAGAACCCTTATAAATGAACGGCAATAAATAAATTCCCCCAATTTAAGGGCATACATAAAAGAGAGGGTTAACCACTCAAATCTTCAGGAAAAAGGAAAGGAAAGCCCACAACTTTTAAGCATGGAAAAAAATGTGATCTTGGGAAGATACCGAAACTATTGAACAGAACAAATGAAAACATCAGTGGCATACCCAGCAAGAACATCAATATTGCTGATGACAACTTTAAGGAAGTTTCCAGCTCCAGATCCTCCACCCATCTCCAACAGAATATTATTTGTTCAATTGGGTTGTAAGTTGTTAATCTCAGTGGCAGTGGAAGAAGAGAGTTAATTATGGTGGCAGGCAGTCCCGATTTTCTAACTTGAATCAGAAGAATTTGAAACTCACAAAAGACTGAACTGATGAAGAAGTGATAAGCAAGCAAAGTTGGGATTTTGGGAATGGGGAAAAAATAAGCCTGCAAAAAAAACAAAAAAAAATAAAAAAAAGCACTGGTAGCTGAGCTGATTTGAAAGGGAATACGTGTTTTCGTTTTAGCTTAGGTGGGACTTGGGAGTGGGGGAAAAAGCCAGCACGACCCGGTGATTTCAAGCCGACAAATCAATGGATTTGGACTATTTTGAAATTAATTTTTAATAGTTATTAGTTTAATAAATAAATATTTGTTTATATCTATTAAATTTAATGGACTTAAATGGATGGACATTATATATACCCACAGATACAAATTTAGTCCAAGATACAAATTTAGTGGACTGTGTAAGACTTTTTAGTGTATCATAATGTTTCTTTTGTTTCATGTTTGTACTCCTTTATACAGTAGCTTAATAATTATTGACTACAAGTCGACCAAAAAAGAAATATCAAAGTATGCCAAACACATGCTTGGGCTGATCAAGTCTCTGTCTGGATTACTCTATTACAATTTCTTAGATTAAGTTACAAGTAACAATGAACATCTTAGATTAAATCAAAACTGAACCAGTCAGATAATCCGATCGCCAAAGCAGCTCTAGCATTTCCTAATGTGAAGTAAAACGCTAAAGCCCAACAAACAGGCACATGGAATACTAAAGCTGCTGCTGAGCTTAATAGCATTGGGTAGATCAAGCTCTGAGACTGCAAGTATCGAACCAGTTCTTGAAGAATAGCATATGGAAACAGAGTTGGAATCAGCCAAATTACATATCTTCTGGCTTCAGCTGAAATCAGAGGGTCTTGACCCATCAATACTAGTAGTTTTTCGATGAAGATCCACAATATAGAAATTGGAATGCAAGCCAAGACCAGAGATACGATGGCTGCATTAGTATAAATTCCTAATTTGTAGTAAACACGTGCCCTATACACTTGGCCACACAGAGTTTCCTGCGCAGTAGACATTCCAAACTGCTCAGAAGGGAAACGGCCTTACTGAATCAGTCATATCTTAAAATAAACAAGATTCACACTCTTTTTATGGCGTTCAACAATTACCTTAATTAAGTTCAATCAATGTCATTATAGCTTGATAAGAATGCAAGCCAAAAACCTTTGTGACAAAACATCTGCGACATAATTAACCACACAGAGCCATGAAAATTTTGGAACACTAAGCGGAATAATCTAGTGCGAGCTTCCATTTCAGGTCCAGGGACACCAACACTCCAACACTTCCAATGAAACCCCCCAATAAAGAAAAAAGAGAAAAAAAAAAGATTGAATAAGAAGGAAATCAAAAACAGTCAGCTGGAATTAGATCACTTCTCAATACCAAAATGACAGGACCTAGATCAATTTCCATCCACTCAGAAGCGACACTAGCAACTAACTCTACTATCATCACTGACTTAAGAAAAGAGTTTTCTTACCTCAAAATCAAAAGGATGTGGCATCTTCCATGCTTGACTGAGAAGTCCAATTTTGTATATCAACTAAGGTATCATCCTCATCATCATCGTCTTTCTCTCCATGAGCTACCATTATTCGAATTGGAAAAACATCTTATATCATTCAAAAAAAAAAAAAAAAATCAAAAAACACAAAATCAGAATGATACCTGGACAACCAAAGAGCCAATCCTTAGTGCAAACGCGTGACTCTATCATCTTTGGTGATGTAGAACTACGAAACGGATCCAAAATTCGCCCTCCAGTGCTGAATGCTGATTCTGAAGCGATGGTTGCGATTGTTATGCTCAAAACATCTCGAACCATGCATGACAATACTCAAGAACATCCAACTTCTCATCTTTAGGCAATACTAATTCATTTAAATAAATATCCAACTGAGATAAGTTTGATTGAGTATTTCTTTGACTCTCATATTGATGAAATTGCTGTAAATAGAGAAAATTAAATTATGATTTATATGTGATATCAATGCAAAATGTAAATAGAATTTTTAACATAGAAAAAGCGCATGCCAAATCCATCTTGTCAAGACTTCGTTGACACTCATTAATAGTCTCTGAATCTGATGAAGATGACGAAGTCCTAGGCGGACTGATTTGTTGCATTACCATGTAATCCATGAATAACCCCTTCAACTTAGCCTCGACATTCTTCTATTTTATCTCAGCCGTAGTAGGATCAAGAAATTCAAACACCGCCTTCACATGTTCAAGCTTGTAACGAGGATCCATAATAACGGCAATAGACAAAACAATACTACAGCACTCCCAGTATTTTTCAAACTTCATATACATTTGAGTAGAAATTACCAAATAATCACCCACAAGATCCCCTGTGTGGGGCGTAGGAATGTGTCAAAAAATCAGATTTTTCTTCTGTAGCTTCCATTGTCGATCTACATAATGTTCCGTCACACACATATACCCATCAGTCGTGCGAGATGTCCACAGATCGGAAGTCAAACAAATCCTACCGGGAACTAACCCTAGCTCATTTTTTAACTTTTCTTTCTCCAAGTTGTAGAGTAGTAGAAGATCCGCATTTGCAGAATTTCTTGAGATTTTGCTCACTGTTGGATTTAAGAACATGTGGACATCTCTAGTCCCTTCATGCTCAACCACACTCAAGGGGTAATTATACCTCAGAATTGACTTAGAAAGAATATCATGAAATTCCTTTTGATCTACTCTAGGATGGCGACTGGAACCCTCTCATTCTTTGCCAACACAAGTCACTATGTGGCGGCCCATATTACTTGTTCCCGAGTAAGCTACAAAAAGTTTCTTACAATTGCAACATTTGGCTCTTATTCTCCCATCTTCATCCATAGACAATTTCTCAAATACCTTCCAAACTTCTGAAGTTCGTACTCTTTTACTTGGATTACTAGAAGCTTCATTGCCCATCTCCTCATCCAAATTTATGTCCTCTTTCATCACAGCTGCCTTTTTTTAAAACACTGAAAAGGGCAAGACAACATATCCTCAAAAAACATGCAAAACACTAAACAGAGACATAGTTAATGTAGAAATACACATACAGAGACAGAAGTGAAATTACAACCAAGAGATGAAACACAATCTATAGTACTACAGCAACCAAGATTAAAAATCAATGACACAAACCTCACCCATTTTTTATAAAAGATGAGTTCACACCAAATGTAAACAAAAGATGGAGCTCGATGCTTTACAAATATCAGCAATTGTAAACAGTTAGATTATCAGTAGTTCAATATTAATAAGCTACTGAAATGTCTTAGTTTTATCTACTCAGATGGATCTTGAAAAGAGCTATATTGGAAATATTTAGGTCCACCTTTGAGACTAACTATTCTATGATACTTTTAATGAACTTTTTCAAACCATGATGATGCTTAGGATCAAACTAGGCACAGAGGAAAAACAGTAACTAGCAGTAATCCCAAGCCAGCTATTATCACTTCATAATGAAACGAAGATATCTACAGATTCTAAAGAGTCTTCCTCTCCCAGACTTTTTGATTCAAGTTCCCAAGAGTCAGCCAAGTGAACCACTTCTTTTGCAGCCGATTAGCAGGAATGGCATAAGCAGGAGCAGCGGACAATGTAAACAAAATTATGCAGAAATGCAAGTAGCCAAAAAAAGTATAATGAATGAGTAGGTATCAAGCAGCATGACGTTGTTTCAATAAGATCTAAATTTTCGGCCAGAAAAGGAATGCCAAATTGTGCAAAGAAAATCAGACATCCCACACAAATCTGATCATCCTCTTAATGCAAATCATGGTGAAAACAAGGAGATTTTGGTTGTTGCTGTAATACATTGAATATGCGTAGGGAGAGCAAGATTGAGAACAAGTCAATCATATTGGCCTCTCACATACATTCATTCAATAAATCACCATCCAAAAACACATGAATAACCATTCCATCAGAAGTGATCACATAAATTAACAGTAAACAACATGCATCACCTGGACTGATATTCATCCAAAAAATAACAGAATAAAAAACCGGCATTATCAAGAATCACATAACCATATTAAACTGAATTGATAATAGAACTTGATAAATTCAACTTCGAAAGCTATCAGTACACTTAAGCTCCAAACATGTTTATCAAAACAAAAACCAGTCTATGCGCATTGTGCCTACTGCCTAGTAAAAAATTACGCATTAAAAATAAAAAACCACGTAAAAAAAAAAAAAAAGAACTCTAGAACCGTTTTGAGGCTCTCATGAAGCCTTAGGGCGAAAGCTATTATTCCTCTAACATTGGGAACTTCGCTCACTTCCTCAAACACTTGAGACTGAGGCGCATTCAAAAGAATACATCTATGACTAGAGAATTAGTATAGGAAAATAGATCTACGCTTCGAGCTGCTTTCGTTTCTCTCCTGTTGGTCCAGCCTCGTCAGCAGTCAAGAGTCTCTTCCATTAATGAATTTATGGCACCTTTCTTTCACCGAATGTGCTTGATAACCAGGCACCAGGCAGGAATATGAACCTTTTTCTATATCCAATTATGCTTAAAGCGATCAAGACATGTCTTACTAAATGCGCTTGCGTACAGGGTTGCCGTACTAACTATATTACAACCGCAACGCATGGAATGCACAACAGAGAATCAATGCGACCCATTAAAAATTATGCATCAGATTAACAAAATCACGAAAGAGATTGGCAAAAACTGAACCTATCAACAGAAACCGTCAATAATCCAACACCAAAATACAACAATAAACAGATCCATATCAAATTAAAACCATCAAGGAGGGAGAAGACCCAAAAGGAAAATTACCACGCTTGGGAACCTTAATACTTAATAGCTTTGAGCCCAGAAAAATCAAAGTCTTCCTCGATAACCCTCTTAGCCCACTTGAA